ATGTCACCAACTCTGCTCATCTCAACAGTGCCGGGTTAGTCAGGAGCTTCGTAGGGAAGATAGACGGCAGAGACTATCAGTGGCTTCGTGGTACCTCTGTCTAGTCTTGCTGTCGTCATATCTCCATTGCTGAAATTAGAAAGAAGCATTAAATTTAACTCCTTTTTAGCAAGAATACACGTTCTCACCTTCTCTCCATTGGAGGTAGACAAAAGCGTGTATTTGGTGTCGCCCAGTCCAGTCACCTTACCTTTGTACAGGTAAGGTTCCTGGATGAGCGCCACGTCGATGTTTGAGGAAGAAAGGGTGAGTAGCAGTTCAGCAGCTGCTGCTTTACAGTGATGCAGATTAATCTGGATCACGTTAAGCGCTTGCTGCTGCCTGTCTATTGTTTTGGAGTGGTGAGGCGGAAACAAAGTTTCCCCATTCCATAAACAAGCTCACCCTTGTTCTTCCTCAAGTACTCCTCTCCCGCAGAGTCGGTAGCGAACTTCGCGACTACACCGCCGTTCCTTTCAAACGAGGCGAGGATTCTCCACCTCCTCGTCTGAAGGCCGTCGTTCTGCTTCTCCAATAACCTCAGTGTCTTCTCCAGCCCCTTGAAAGGTTTTGGGATAAACACCGAGGTTACCATACCGCTCGGTATCTCTCGAACCGCTACGGCCGCCAGACGACCACCCTCCCAAAGGGGGTCCAGGCTGTTGATTGTCTTCTTAAGAAAATCTGAAGTCTTCTTAGTGCGACAATCAACAACCTTTACTCCTTTGTAAGAGGAGGTCAGGCCAAACCGCAGGCTCTCTCGATCAACCTCGTCGGACAGGAAGAGGTCCTTCAGATAGCTGTCGACCAGCTCCCATCTATCCTCACTGATAAACCCGTCAGGGTCAGCTCGGTCGATGATCGCTACCCGCAGATCTTCCGGAACCTCTTTCGGATCAGCAGAGTCGCTTTGCTCAGTTGTAGGTGTCTGGGCTACCTGCTTCGAGACAGCGTGTTTGGTTTTCACCCCACAATCGCTGCTCTTGGCAGGTTTCTCCTTCGACGCTACCACCGAAGCAAAGGAAGCAGAGCTCTGTACGGCCGACGACTGCGTGGGCCTCTTTGCAGCAGGTTGTTGCTCCTCCGAGGACCTCATTCTCTTGACAGCCGTGGGCTGTGGCCGAGATTTGGCACCCGGGGTAGCAGCTACTGCAGAGGTATGCCCAGCAGACGCAGGCACCTGCTTCGCGTCCGCTACCTTCTGCTTGACCACTGACGACTGCCCAATTGTCACCGCCTTGGCTGTCAGCTTTGGCAATTCGGCAGAAGGTGGATTGACAGAGGGCGGTTGTGCCTTATCGGTCTTCTTAGAGGCCTTTTTACGGGCTCTCTTTCGGGCCGACTTCGACAGTCCCCTGCCTTCTGTCTTTGTGGATTCTGATGTCTGAGACGTCTCAGTACTCAGTTTACCATTTGGGGGTGCTGAGGGCTTAGACGTCTCAGGCATCAGCTTCCTGGATGTACCGGGGCCATCAGCAGGTTTCTCCTTCTTAGAAGGGACTACCGCCGTGGTCTTAGTACTGGGTCGGGGGATCCTGTCAATCAAGAAGTCCCTCTCAATGTCATCAGGATAGTTCCTAGAGAACTTCCTAATGAGTTTGAGGTTCCTCTTGATTAACAGGAACTCCTTACCCGTGATGGAGTCGCTGTCCCGTCCAATGTATCGTATTAAAAATTGGCTCCATAAAAAAGTGCTGTTTGTGAGGATTTGAGGTCGACCATTACATAGCCTCTTACCATGGCAAGGACTTGGCAACTAAGCCTGAAACACTTGTTGAGGCGCCCAGGTATCAACAAGGCTCCGTTCTAATACAGTCGGTACCCTGACTGCAAACCGTGGAACGCTGATAGGCACGAGGTCGCATGACACCCCAGCGTTAGGGGGGACACTTTAAGAAGGTAGTGTCCCAAACCTTGAGATGGATATATGGGAGGGGGCGCCATTCTCGCCTCGTCGACTCAGGGATCATTGGCACTCGGTCATTTCCTCCGAGACTCTCCCCCTGAGCCCGCTGATTGTCCGCGACTGTTTATTGGTTATTAACAGTTACCCAACGAATGGTGTTGGGCTTTCCACTATCCGCAACCTGTGGACGCGTCCGATAGCATTCAGCTTTGCTCCCCGTAGGCGGAGCATCATACATAGTTGAACAGAATTAAATTGAGAATAAGTGTGGGAGAGGTTAATTGAGAGTAAATCATAAAAAAAGACTGACCAAAAGAGAAAACTTGTTTAGCCATCACCGCTATCGTACTATTTTGTGCATTTGCGCTATACTTTCACCCAAATTGAATATCATTTAGTACATTTCATACTCACAAGTAAGAATTTCTAAAACTACATCAATCTTACACTCTAAAAGTAATCCTAATTACAGGAAAGTCCCAATTGCACCAAACATTATCAAAACTACCTCAATCCAGGTTTCAAATAATAATCTTAAGTCCAAATTGTACCAGATTTGATACCATTTGGTACGGTTTTACAACAATTCCTCATGTCTACGCTACAGTAGACTTGATCCCAGCCTTATCCTTTCACATAGATCCAAATTGTACCATATAAAGTACGATTTAGTATTTTTGGTATTTATAAATTCGAATTTCCAACACTACCACAATCGTTTACTCAATTCGCCTATTATACAAATTTAGCACCATTTAGTAAACATAATTACGAATTTTCAAAACTACCTCCACATTTCATACCTGCACTCCAACAGTAATTTTAATTTCAAGTTTTAGGATTTCAGCCCTATCCGTTCAGACAAAAACAAATTGAAAAATATTTATATTTTATAATTTGGAATTTCCTAAACTACACGCCAACAGTATTTTTAATACCAAAATTCTGGAATACAATACACGTACACACAAGTGCGATTTTTAATGCTACTTCAATAGTAGCCCTAATTCCTTTTTTCAGGATGTTTAGTAATTTTGGTACACTTATAGTTCAAATTTCCAAAAACTCTTTTGTATACCATTCTAACTTTCCATCAGTGACACACATTCCAAATTTCTAGCTCTTCCCGTTCGCCTAATGCAGAGGGTACCGAATTTAGTACATTTAGTACTTTTCTTACCTTTCTAGTTCGAATTTCCAAAAACCCAGCCTTATCTCACGCCTGCACACCAACAACAACCCACACATTAAACGTTTCAAGCTTCAGTCGTTTCGTCTGGGCGATGATTTGTCAGTCACTCACTCATTTAACACTTTTATATATTAAGATTATAGGACATTACGCTAGACCATAGTTCTTATCAATTTCATTAATTCTACCTTTATTGTTGTGCCATGTTTATGCCAATCGGCACGAGACTTTTTTTGAGTGATCGTCCAATTGTGTGTGATCTAACGAGGACAAATCTCTTTACGGCTAGATATTCATGCATTCAGAAAGCATATCACCGGCTTAACATGTAAAGGCAATAAGTCCATATTTTTCAATTTTGCAGGAGAGACAAAAACAACGACGTGTGATAAATTGGAATTAGCGCCAATATGTTATTATTGCGTATAATTTGTTTAAAATCACAAAATTGAGATAAAACGCCTTTAAAAATCAATTTTAAATAGATACTTCGGTTTGTGTTGCATTTATTCCGAATGAATCTCTCGCTTGACACAAACAGCTGATTTGAAATAAGATCGTACAAGATAGGGTTACAGTCTTTCATACATGTATTTTATGTTGCGAATAATAAAATTATCGTTAGAATTTACGAAATTACTAAAAAATAACAGAAACAATGTTAAAAACGAATACAGTTTATATTGTGTGGTAGTCTGCAAAGTACCATGCCGGCGTTTATTTTTGTCGCAGTTCGAAAATTTCAATTCACGTGAGATGCACAACAGGAGGTAACTTCTGAGGTGAAGTGTATGTGTGAAGTGAAAAGAACACACCGTGAGTTCCAGAATATACCCGTACATTTTCATAGTGAGAGTTGGGTGTGTTCTGATCAGCAGCTGAAGTATAAATATCAATGTCACGTTTATATAAACACATACATTTATATGAAAAATTTGAATGCCTGATTTTAATTAATTTATAAATATTATGGAATATTGGCAAGTTGAAAATTGGGCCGATTTCTTCTTAATATGTCGATTGTACTATTATTAAATTTATTGTTACTATTATTAAATAAAACAAAATTAAGTTAAATATAGTATATCGTTTAATAATTTATTGATTAGTTATAGACAAGAAAAATATACAAAAAACAATGACTTGCATATATATACGTCAAAATCTGTGTTGAATAAATATGTATGCATGTATGTACTTCTTTGCATATACAAATAATTTTGAGATTACAAAAACAAAATGTTCTATTTCATGATTCTTTTCAACTTTCAGTTTTTATTCCCTAATCTATTTTATTTCATGTTTACATTTTCTATGAAAAAAGAAACAAACGCACACACACAAGTACAAAAGTGTTATAAAATTTGGTGGATTATTTGTTTAACGCTGCTACAAAAATTGACCCAGGCACGTATATTCCTGCAGGTCTGATTCATATGCTTATATTTAAACATTTATATAAATAATGGAATACTTTTTGTCGTGTTTGACATTGATTGTGCAAAACTCCTAAGTAAATCTACAAAATATATAAATATGCATATATAGTATTTAAATATATATGTTTTAAGGCTTTCAAATGACAATTTACATTACGGTTAGTTAGTTTTGTAAAGAAACCAGTATGCCGATGCTGATAGTTTGTCTTTGTAACAACAATTAGTTAATGTTGTTGAACGTCATCTAATGCATTGTGGTTTCCAATTTACGGAACATACATATTCGATCATTCAGTTGTTGGTTGTTATAGTTGTTTTACTAGAATTCTGTTACAGTTTTTTTTTACCGCTACGTTTTGTTGTTAACAATAGGTTCTTATACATAGTTATTGATTTATTTGTTACATACATAGTTATTGATTTATTTGTTACATAACTTTACTGCTACTTTGTGCATCCATTAGCGATGATATGGGTGTCATGCCAAATAAACTACCCGTCACCGAAAGTAGAACGGAGTAATTGAAATACCAAAAGAGTATGAAGAGAATGGCAAAAATTACATCTGAGTGAGGTAATTTCGGTTCCAGTTATTTGTTGATGTACCGGCAAAAAAGAAAGAAAAAAACATTATTTTTTTATAAAAAATAATAAAGTGTTTACTACATAATGTATAAAATATATAAATATTTTTATAAAGGCAATATATTTTGGTTGTCTAAATATTTAGAGATAGTATATCAGAAAATCACGAAAATAACGGTTGTTTTCAAACAGAGGTGTTGACGTTTAAGGATTTAAATTTTCGGTTGGGAGAAGATTATACTCTGAAATTATTGGTATACTTGTTGATCTAATGGTAAACTATTGTGGACCTGGCGGAAATGAAAAACAAAATAACTTTAGATAATTAGAGTGGATGGATGCACCAACTATAACAAAATCCTCGGGATATCTTGGTATAAAAGAAGTCACAATTGTATGACGGTGTCAGTGGCATTCTTCCAGATTATATGATGCCATAGGATATACTGAGATAGGATATTAACATTTCACACTATATCGTAGAAAGATGCGGAACACTTCGACATGTTTTCGAATGTGACTCCAACGATTTTGTCGAATATTTTAATATTCAGGGTGTGAAAGAATTCGACATTTGAATCTGTACGGTCGGACGTTGGGTTAGCTTGGAAAAGGAGTGGCCAGGAACAGACCAGTCAAGACCTGTTGTGTGGAAAATGTTATTAATAACAATTAAAAAGTGTCAGTCGGTGTTTCCGACATATATATTCCTAGCCTATGGTTTGCGGAGATCTTCGGAATTACACACAGGTTTTATTACTCGCTTTATATAAGGTATGTTTTTATCAAAGAGGCTTACGATTTAATGTTGATCAAATCGGTTATTTAATTTGCTTCAATTTAATAAATTTTATCAGTTTATAAATATAATCGCCTAATATTGGATTTATAAATATTGAATAGGTACCAGAAGGAGTGGCCTAATGGGTCCCATTATCCCTTTCTTTAGAGGAAAAATACCTTGGTACAATCCTTGACCACAAATAGGAATGTTGAGGAACGCGCTAAGAAAGGACTAATAGGACTCTACTCCTCCAAGAACTCTATAGGTAAGAGTTGGGGACTAAGACCAGAGACCATATAATCGCCTAATATTGGATAAATATAATCGCCTAATATTGGATTTATAAATATTGAAAAGGTACCAGAAGGAGTGGCCTAACGGATCCCATTATTCCTTTCTTTAGAGGAAAAATACCTTGGTACAATCCTTGACCACAAATTAACGTGGAATAGGAATGTTGAGGAACGCGCTAAGAAAGGACTAATAGCACGCTATTCCTCCAAGAACTCTATAGGTAAGAGTTGAGGACTAAGACCAGAGATTCTTACATATGGACGCCTTGTATGGTGGCAGCAAAAATATACTGCTGACTAAAATGAATACAGTACAGTAATAGGCTTCGCTTCTGACAACCGGAGCGCTAAGAAGCACACCACAATCTCCAACCATTGGACTCTCTGATTAAATTCCAGGCTGCTATATGTGTTCTGAGGCTCCGGGAAACGGAGGTCTGGAAGTCGCTGAACTTTGGTCACGCAAGTATCCTTCAAACGACGCCAGGTTGTGACTTCTTGAAGAGGAGTACTCACATTAGTGACTATGTTCCCTATCATAGATGCTTTACTGACATCAAAGTAAAGTTTCCTAGTAGGGAATCCTTGACTGGTGGTTTCTTACCTCTGCCCGGTCTGTCGTTTTTCACAGAGGGGTCCAAGTACTGGTGCAGGCGTTTACTGCAGGGAACTAGAAATCTATAACTAGTAAAAACTTTACGATCTTCGCAGAGTTTTTCAAGCAGAAATTCTTGCAATCACGAAAGCGGCAGAGATAGTCAAAACACTTACTGCCGACAGTATAGGACCTGTGTCTATATATGTCGATAGTCAAGCGGTTCTCAAGGCTTTAAAGTCGTGCACTATTAACTCAAAAGCGGTTCGTGATTGCAAGGCTGCTCTACATGATATACGACGGAGAGTTAATTTATCCTTCAGTGACCACAATTAATTTATTTTGGGATCCAGGACATAGTAACATAGAAGTGAATGAGATTGCCGACGAGCTTGTTCGAGGATGTTCACAGTCATCCAATTTTCCAATTCTGACCATTGGCAGAATCCGTTTGATCTACGGCGAGGTAGACGGCAACAGAAGGTCAAGCGAACCTGGCTGTAGAACCTCAAAAATTATCTGGCCAGAATTCTCTCGCCGAAGAACTTCTTCGCTGTTGTCCCATAAGAGAGAGATAAACACAACTGTACGATTAGCTAGAAACAATTGAACATACCCTCTGTAGGTATCCATCGTTAATTGTCAGAAGACTCAGACAGTTTGCTAAATATGAAATTGATAACCTGGCATTCGTCTCCAAAATAGACCCCGAGCTGTTCCTAGGCTTTGTCAAGAATTTATCATGGCTAAAATAACATTTTCCAAGGTCTCCAATTCCGACTATATATCCTCTCTTCCAAACTCTTTTCAGGTAACAAGGACGATCACAATGGACACATATCTCTGAATGAACGGTTGTTAATTAAGAACCGTACATCCTAAACCTAACCCAATAGGTTGTTCAAGTTTTGGCTCAAATCGAAAATTCCATTCGGCTGACAATGAATTTATAAAGAGAAGTGGACCAATGGGTCCGGTCCGTCCGGTCTTTGTATATGCTTGGTAAAGGTAGTAGGTTCGCAACTTTGACCCTATGTGGGGGAGGTACAAGAAGGAGTGGACCAATGGGTCCCATCTTCCAATATATTCCTACGCATGATAATATAAAATTCATTTTTTGGACAATTTTGAGTGGATATTCAGAAGGAGCGGATAAAAAATATTAAGATGTGCGGAGTTTAGATGCAATCGATCACTCCCTTCGAGAGTTATTGTGAGTACCAGATATCGTAAATAATTTCATTGCTAGGAATTGGGTTGGAATTTTAGAAGTCTTATCTCCGATTTGGTACCCCCATTGTTGTTTCCAACAAGGGGAGTTTTTTCAAATTATTTTGTATCTTTCGTCAATCACCTCACGTGTTGCGCAAAACTGTTCGCAGTGGTTCACTTCTATAGTGTGAAGGTCAGTAGGACTTTTGGCAACTAGATTGGCCTTTAACCATATGATTCGCATACGAACGTGTCGCGAGAACCTGTTCAGTAGTTTTGGGGGTTACTGTCTGTCAGGATGTTTATTTGTATTATATATTAATTTTTGCCCATTTAAAATTAGTCTTCAGTCTTGGAACAAATTACGTCCAATGACGACTTTTGGTCAATTTAAAAATAATACTTGGTAGGGCCTTAACCTTGTCATGAATAAGCCCAGGCTAATAACGTATGGCTATTCCAGTCTATTAAATTTATTATTCTCACAATGTTTCTAATTAATCAACGGTCTAGATCGTATACAACTCATTAATACAATTGTATGCTTATGTTTACAAATATCGTTATCTATATCAACAAATATTGATGTGATAAGCCAAGTGTTAATAATTCAATCATAAAGCTTATCGTATTGCTTGGAAAAGTGTTTAACCATTTCAATTCATTTTGCATAGCCGAATATAGTAAACAATGTGTAAAACAATATACGGCTAAGAACAGAGACAAATTAAATCTGATTTCTATAGTGGATGTTTAGTATTTGCAGTTATAAAACTAAAATTTACTACATAGGTGGTGTAGAATTATTAAAAATGCACAATAAGAGTACATATATAAGGATTTTTAATTATTGGGTACTTGTGTTCATTCAAACATACTAATGTTGAATATCAACTATAATCGGATAACATGTGTATTTTTGTTGGCCACCCAATAACAATTCCCAATCAATACACTCATTTATGATGTATTAATGGAATTTTTGATACCAACCTCAAAAGCACCAATTTGCAATCAATATTGCAGTACTTTTATATGCAGAGTATTCTCCGATGTATTCTAATTATATAAAGTTATTATTTTATTCATATCTATTTATTTCGAAGACTTCAATGTGAGACTGCAGGAAACCACCCGATATAATGTGTACATATTGGCTAATTTACATTCAAGACATACAATCATTTCGGAAACTATTCTCAGGGACTTGTATGACTAAATACATAATTTGGAATTTGAATAACAACACAGTCACACTAACAACGATATTCAAAATAGAACTACAATTTGCCAACGACGACGATAGTCTTAAATTAATTGAATACTTACGTATTGTGACCCTTTCCCATTTCTCCACCATATACAGTTCGGTAACCATCAGATAACGAAACCACCAATAGTTGCAGAAATCAATTATGTTTTGCAGCATTGTCGTTATTTATGTTGTGTGTACCGGGGCTGGGTTTTAAAGTTTACTCTTCCTTCCTACTGTTTTTTTTATTGACAATATGATTTATTGCCTGTCACTTCAATGGGTCTGCCCTCAATGTTTGCACCAATTTGGCAGGTATTGCTTTAAATTGTTATCTGCCTGTGGTGACGATCAAGAACGCACTCAGGTAGGCTTATCAATTAATGGCTTGTTCTAAATTTGATAAGAATTGTACAATAATTTAATGAATTATCGCAATCAAAAGTCTTTAGATGACACCACTGAATAGGTTGAATTGGGTAGTTGCAGTGTTGCCAACCATGGCCAACCAGGAGTTTGACAGATAATCGAGAAATCTACAGTCGACTCTGCCTACTTCTGACGAACGCGTTAAAAACATCAATTTTCTATTAAATTTGACATGTTATTCAAAACAATACACACACACACATACACAAAATATGTATTTTGATCAGAGATCCGAAATGCTCGCTCGAATTCGAGCGGGAGTACTCCTGCGAATGTCCTTCGCTCGTTTTAGAGTGGGAGTGAAATACGCTCGAAATCGAGCTTATTCCAGTCTCTTTTGAATATCTTTTTTTTTTAATAAAAAAATGAAACTAAATAAAAATATTTTGATTTTAAAGCTGAATAATGAACTGCTTAAGCGTTGATGGACTTTCTTGCAAAAAAATATTTTTATTTGACCCTTACAATGTGTTTTTTGGTTTTTATACATGATCATTCAACCACAAAAACTGTTTGCTACTACACACGCAAAACACCAAAAAAATATTTGTCCACTCGATTTCACTCTTACAATGAACTCTTACTCTATTTCGAGCATTTAGACTTTTACCCATGATGCAATAAAAAGGTGATGTATCACAACAACAACCTTGTTTTTGTCACGACCATCTGTCAAATTGTTCCTTATAATATTTCAAAAAGTTGGCAGCATTGCACATCGAATTCAAGGAAATTACGCACCATGGCCTATAAATAAGTCACCATGGCCTATAAATAAGGTCACCAAGGGAGACCAGCTGATAATCGATACCTCTCAAGTTTGCTGTCAAAATGCATTATTGTGAATTGACTTCCATTATGAAAACGTAAGCAGAGTGGAAATGGAAATTTTTGACATTAGACTTGAGAAAAAACAGCTGTTTTCCGATTTCGATTGCTATCTTGGTGACCTTATTAATAGATCTTGTTACGCACTTTGACAGTTAATCGAGACATCAGCTCTCACCCTTTTTCATTAACAAGGAGTACTCGCAGTACTCGCGAGCTCTCCCAAACAAAATAAAACAGTGTGAGTATACTCCTCAAAGAAACTCGTACTCTTCACGTACTCCCACCCAGGAGCATTTTTCACTAGCGAGTAAAATCGAGCAAATCGGAGCTCTGCTCAAAAAATAAATTAATCGGCTTACTTATTTAAAAATTTTCCCAATATTGAGTCAAAGTGATCATGACATCCATATGCCGAATATAGCAGTTTGTTCCTAAGTGCGGCATCCATAAAAATATAATAATTACAAATATTTCTTAATAATTTTAAATTCTAAAATGTTCCTCTACATCACTAATGCACAAAATAGTACGATAGCGGTGATTGCTAAACACATATTCTCTTTTTGTCTCTTTTCGTCAGTCATTTTTGATGATTATCCCTCAGTTACGCTCTCACACACTTACTCTCAATTTAGTTCTGTTCAACTCTGCTCTACATGTTCCTAACAATCCGATCGAAAAATATATTTAATAATAATGCGGATAATACGTAATAATAATATTTTAAAATCGGCATGCTCACTAATCTTTTTCTAAATGCACTGTCCCTAGTGGTGATAGAACCACATTGAGAAAAACCTTAAACCTTAAAAACATTACTGCCTGAACTTAGATTGAAATTTTACACAGAGATAGGTGAGTAGATGACGATATTATTGAATATTATTCAAGGCAAGATTGATTTATTTTTCAGTTGTTTGAAATTATAGACAACAGATGCCGAGTACTGACTTAAGGAGCACTTACCCATCTTACCCATTCAACAAAATATATCTACATAACATACAACATACATAACACATTCTACATATATTCTTATTACACATCACACATTCTAAACCCACACCCTAAACCCACATCCTAAACCCCTCGGCAAAGCCAACCCCACGCACGAACCGTCCAATTGGACGTGCGGTCTCCGCTACCCAAGCTAAACCAGTCTGTGATAGGATGGATTCCCCATTACACAGATTCAAATTTAATAGACTTTGATAGACTTAACTGTTTTTGGGGCTACATTGGACACCATTTCAGCTTTCATGAGTGCGAGTGAAGCTCCTACGATCGATTGATGTGTGTGTCTGGTGCTTCTGTCCGTGCATAAAAGATTAAAATGGTGGTAGCGGAGACCGTACGGCCAATTGGACCATTTGGTTCGTGCGTGGGGTTGGCTCTGCCGTGGATGGATTCACCACCCATCAATCGCCATCTAAAAAGGAAAAAAAAAAAGGAAAAAGAATTACCTCGATTTTCGTATTGTATTTAAAACTTTTTTGGTTGATGATGACGCGCTGTTTATGCTGCTGAAGTGCCGATTGAATGCTTTTTTTCCAAGCTTTTTCTCCCGCTTTTTTACCGACTGCAGAAATATTGAAAAACGTTCCACCTGTTACGAATGGGATGGGATAGACAAAATGCCCGGTAAAGAAGAAGTCAAAGAAGAAGACGGAAAGTTACGAAGGAGGTGCGATGGAGACTAAAAAGGAGTTGGATTGTTTACGAATGAGGTTATAATAGAGATGGCGTCATCACGTGTTGCCAACCATGGCCAACCAGGAAAAATTTGACAGATAATCGAGACAAATAATCTACAGTCGACTCTGCCTAACTGAACGCGTTGGCTAACTGTGTCTTTTTTTTGGTCTGTTCCCGTACTGCAAGAATCTACTCGATTTTACTATTTTCTTCGATATCATAAAGGAAAAAGGTGTTATCGGAGTAAAAAAAGAGTAGATTCTTGCAGTACGGGAACAGACCATTTGTCTCATTGCATCTATACCGCCTAACTTGTCTGTCTGATTTCTTTCCAAAATCTAGTAGGAATACCATGAACTATTACTTCTGACGAACGCGTTACATTAGAAAGCGAACATATACATAAAAATATGTCAAATGTACAGAGCGACTTGTTGCATTTGTTTTCATTTATTTTAACATTATTGCCCATACTACGCTAACTTGCATGGTACAATTATAAAGGGTAACAGCAAAACTCAGCTGATTTGATTCCACCGTAATACTAGTGTCAATATGAATATGACAAATTATGTTTTTAAAAATCACCCTCCCATATCCTCCCTTCCATATTCATTTTACTCAATCTGTCTACTGGAAAAGTTTGAGGAAGCAAATCTTTCTTCATGGAATAACTCGAAATTCCCAGAATTTCATATGTGTTACACATACAAGTGGCAATGGCTCAATTATAGGTAAGATGTGAAAGCGATAGAAATATAAATTAGAACATGATGATCATTCATGACACTAGTAAAACTTATAACAACAAATTTCTATGTGGTTGTTGTATCGTTTGTTGTACAAAAACACTAGCCTTCTATTATTATACCGTGGCTAACATGTGTAATGCTACTTTACATACACATTTTATATGATGATTAGGTTATTTACACTGGCTTTCAGATAATTTCTAATGACTGTCAGCTGGTATTTGTTTACATATACACACACTCACACCCACACTTGCTTACACGAATTTTATAATAAAATATAAGGTTTTATTTTTTATTGGAATTTGATATTTATAATTTGTTTTTATTTCCCCAAATAGGAATTTTTGGGTTTTATTTCAGCCGTTCAGTGAACATTACGGATAACTCAATAAAATGAAAATTTGAGAAATCCGCTATATATATATATATATATATATATATATATTATGCATATGTTGTTTTTAAATAATTGTACCCATGGTACAATTATAAAAGGTAACAGCAAATCCCAGCTGATTTGATTCCAACGTAATACTAGTGTCAATATGAATTTGACAAATTATGTTTTTAAAAATCACCCAACAGGAAAATTGGGAACGCTTAAAATTTGAAATTGTTCTTTATTAAGTGTGCTCCCGTATTCAATTTACTCAATCTGCCTACTGGGAAAGTTTGAGGAAGCAAATCTTTCTTCATGGAATAACTTTCAATTCCCTGCACACACGTGTAACACATATAAGTGGCAATGGCTTAATTATAGGAAAGATGTGGAAGCGATAAAAATATAAATTTGATAGATTTTCAAATTTTATTATGAGGATTTAAAAATATTTCATTTTCAAAATAAATATAATTTGTTTGTTTGTTTACATTTTTCTGTCAAAAGACACTGACACTAGTAAAACTTACAACAACAAATTTCCATGTGGTTGTTGTATCGTTTGTTGTACAACAACACTAGCCTTCTATTATTATACCGTGGCTAACTTGTGTAATGTTACTTTACATACACACTTTATATGATGATTAGGTTATTTACACTGGCTTTCAGATAATTTCTAATGACTGTCAGCTGGTATTTGTTTACATATACACACACACCCACACTTGCTTACACGAATTTTATAATAAAATATAAGGTTTTATTTTTTATTGGAATTTTATATTTATAATTTGTTTTTATTTCCCCAAATAGGTATTTTTGGGTTTTATTTCAGCCGTTCAGTGAACATTACGGATAACTCAATAAAATGAAAAGTTGAGAAATCCGCTATATATATATATATTATACATATGTTGTTTTTAAATAATTGTACCCATGGTACAATTATAAAAGGTAACAGCAAATCCCAGCTGATTTGATTCCAACGTAATACTAGAGTCAATATGAATTTGACAAATTATGTTTTTAAAAATCACCCAACAGGAAAATTGGGAACGCTTAAAATTTGAAATTGTTCTTTACTAAGTGTGCTCCCGTATTCAATTTACTCAATCTGCCTACTGGGAAAGTTTGAGGAAGCAAATCTTTCTTCATGGAATAACTTTCAATTCCCTGCATTTTCATACGTGTAACACATATAAGTGGCAATGGCTTAATTATAGGAAAGATGTGGAAGCGATAAAAATATAAATTTGATAGATTTTCAAATTTTATTGTGAGGATTTAAAAATAAATATAATTTGTTTCATTTTCAAAATAAATATAATTTGTTTGTTTGTTTACATTTTTCTGTCAAAAGACACTGACACTAGTAAAACTTACAACAACAAATTTCCATGTGGTTGTTGTATCGTTTGTTGTACAAAAACACTAGCCTTCTATTATTATACCGTGGCTAACTTGTGTAATGTTACTTTACATACACACTTTATATGATGATTAGGTTATTTACACTGGCTTTCAGATAATTTCTAATGACTGTCAGCTGGTATTTGTTTACATATACACACACACCCACACTTGCTTACACGAATTTTATAATAAAATATAAGGTTTTATTTTTTATTGGATTTTGATATTTATAATTTGTTTTTATTTCCCCAAATAGGTATTATATATATATATATATATTATACATAATTATGTTTATGATTTTTCGACCTTTTGAATGTTTAATAAATTAGAGATGGTTGATCGAGCTTGAGGTCAATGTTTTTTTATTTATTTATTATTTTCCAATATTTCGAAATTCGTTGAATTTCATCTTCAGGGAAGTTGATCTACAATAAATAAACATTACAACTAATTAGAATATATATCACAGCTTTTTTTAAAACTAAAAACATATATAACTCGTAAGATGTGATCGCTTACTTTTAAATAACAAACATTAAATAATTAGCTTAAAAACTAGCGTAGTGTGACTACCACGGTCAAAAGTTATTATTGCACTGATTGTTATTTGTTAATTGCACGATCCCCTCCTACGCGTTAGATGTCTGTAGCAATAAGCTGTGTTGTCTGTGTCTGCTTTGTTGTTGATTCGTTTTGTTGTTGGTAAACTATTAATGTGGAGCATCTCTATTGTTAGTCTCTTGTTGTAATGGCTCTCTTCTTGTAACACTTTCACGTCGTCTATGTTAGGTATGTGATTGTTGTGTTTACAGTGTTCTGCTAACGCCGTTTTTTGTATTAAATTTGTGTTTCTTAATTTAATGTCAGATTTATGTGCTGACATTCGCGTTTTCAGTTTATTTTTTGTTGTTCCAACATATAATTTTCCGCAACCTTCTTTCTCGTTACCACCACATTCTATCTCGTATATCACATTATGTTTGTCCATCTTTGGAATTTTGCTTTTTACTTTACTATATAGTGATTTTGTTGTCTTATATGAGCTATGTGCTATTGTATATTTTGTTTTGTCGTAAATATCAGATTTTTCCAATCGTTCAGATATATTTGGTAAATATATCAGTGATTTATATATCTTTTTTGTTTCCGATTCTGTCTCGTTTCTCGTTCTCTCGTTTTCTCGTTTTTTTGTTTCGTGTTGACTTATCAACGATTTTATTAAATATATGGGAAAATTATTTTGTATTAGTATGTCTTCGATTTTTAATTTATTTTTCTTGTGAAACTTTTTGTCACTTATATTTAATACTCTATTTATTAAGTTTTTTGCTGTATTTATTATTTTTCGTTTTTTGTGCTTGGAGAAGTAATTAATTAATCTTCCCGACGCCGTTGGTTTTTGATACCAGGGAAGATGCAATACAACAGACTTTGACAACTCTAAATGGCTTCAATAGAAAAATACAATTCACTGTGGAAGAAGAAAACAACGGAAAAATTTCATACTTGGACACCATGGTAATAAGGGACAAAAATATGGATTTTGTCTAGACTGGTATCAAAAACCAACGGCGTCGGGAAGATTAATTAATTACTTCTCCAAGCACAAAAAACGAACAATAATAAATACAGCAAAAAACTTAATAAATAGAGTATTAAATATAAGTGACAAAAAGTTTCACAAGAAAAATAAATTAAAAATCGAAGACATACTAATACAAAATAATTTTCCCATATATTTAATAAAATCGTTGATAAGTCAACACGAAACAAAAAAACGAGAAAACGAGAGAACGAGAAACGAGACAGAATCGGAAACAAAAAAGATATATAAATCACTGATATATTTACCAAATATATCTGAACGATTGGAAAAATCTGATATTTACGACAAAACAAAATATACAATAGCACATAGCTCATATAAGACAACAAAATCACTATATAGTAAAGTAAAAAGCAAAATTCCAAAGATGGACAAACATAATGTGATATACGAGATAGAATGTGGTGGTAACGAGAAAGAAGGTTGCGGAAAATTATATGTTGGAACAACAAAAAATAAACTGAAAACGCGAATGTCAGCACATAAATCTGACATTAAATTAAGAAACACAAATTTAATACAAAAAACGGCGTTAGCAGAACACTGTAAACACAACAATCACATACCTAACATAGACGACGTGAAAGTGTTACAAGAAGAGAGCCATTACAACAAGAGACTAACAATAGAGATGCTCCACATTAATAGTTTACCAACAACAAAACGAATCAACAACAAAGCAGACACAGACAACACAGCTTATTGCTACAGACATCTAACGCGTAGGAGGGGATCGTGCAATTAACAAATAACAATCAGTGCAATAATAACTTTTGACCGTGGTAGTCACACTACGCTAGTTTTTAAGCTAATTATTTAATGTTTGTTATTTAAAAGTAAGCGATCACATCTTACGAGTTATATATGTTTTTAGTATTAAAAAAAGCTGTGATATATATTCTAATTAGTTGTAATGTTTATTTATTGTAGATCAACTTCCCTGAAGATGAAATTCAACGAATTTCGAAATATTGGAAAATAATAAATAAATAAAAAAACATTGACCTCAAGCTCGATCAACCATCTCTAATTTATTATATTATACATATGTTGTTTTTAAATAATTGTACCCATGGTACAATTATAAAAGGTAACAGCAAATCCCAGCTGATTTGATTCCAACGTAATACTAGTGTCAATATGAATTTGACAAATTATGTTTTTAAAAATCACCCAACAGGAAAATTGGGAACGCTTAAAATTTGAAATTGTTCTTTATTAAGTGTGCTCCCGTATTCAATTTACTCAATCTGCCTACTGGGAAAGTTTGAGGAAGCAAATCTTTCTTCATGGAATAACTTTCAATTCCCTGCATTTTCATACGTGTAAAAGTACATCTACATATACAATTTTAAATCGAGTCGATTAACTAAATCCAGAAATACACCCTAATTGTTTACACATATCTTTAATCATGATCTAAATACGGATCAGCTGATGTTTGTTAGTATACATACAAAATTATAAATTTGCTGCAAAAAAATATTTGTTTGCAATTTGAACATGAAACGAAGAATAACTACAATGGAAATGTTTTTGCAATGCTGCGATCGTTTGGAAATGATAAAAAACTACGAAAAACCTAAAAATACTATAAATAATTGTTATTTAATTTTTGTATTTGGTAACCGTTAAATTTAAAAACAAACAACATGTGAAAACAGTTGCAAATTTTGGTACATTGTGAGAGAGTTGTATTTTTTAGCACAAAAACCGCGTTGCATCTCAGTAGTATCATGATTTCGATCATGATTTAAAATAAACCATGCCGTACGATGATTTAATTTTGTATGGTAAATCATGGTAAATTTAGCCTGATTAAGAAAATAAACCCTGATTCGACCTTTAATCATGATCAAATGTTATATGTAAATCCGCTTAAACACATATAAGTGGCAATGGCTTAATTATAGGAAAGATGTGGAAGCGATAAAAATATAAATTTGATAGATTTTCAAATTTTATTGTGAGGATTTAAAAATATTTCATTTTCAAAATTTATATAATTTGTTTGTTTGTTTACATTTTTCTGCCAAAAGACACTGACACTAGTAAAACTTACAACAACAAATTTCCATGTGGTTGTTGTATCGTTTGTTGTACAACAACACTTGCTGTTACCTTCTATTATTATACCATGAATTGTACCATGTATTGAACATTAATGCGCTGTTCAATTGTAAAGGAAAAACGAAAAATTCGCTCTCGGGGTTGAAAATAATTCTGAACAAAAACAAGTAAAAATGCCAAAATTGGATGGCTATCCTTCAAAATCACCAAAAGAGCCAATTAGAAGTCCGCATTCCTGGTTACCATATTTACTCGGCCAATAAACACTATTCTAATTAGAAGGAGATTCAGTCGCGGAGACGTAGTCCATAGGAGAAAATGTTATATCCCCGGCCGATGGCCGCTATCCACAAACATATACATAAATAAATAACAGCTGACAAATAAACGTTATATCATTTTAATACTAGTCTAAACAGTCTATTAATGTGTACCCCACTTTACATACTCATAATATCATGTGCTGTGTAAACAATATAAAGCCCTTAATGTCGCTGTCATGTTGATTTGCCGATCCCTATTGACCATTATAGATTTGTAGAAACCTATTAGTCCTACTCACTGGTTTAACCAAGTTGTAAGCCCATCTGTTTTAAATTTTGGAAATACAATGAGTGCCGAACAAGTAAAGGATTCCAAAATGAACGAAAAGATCATTGCCGAGTTCCAACAGCTCCGCAATGAACAAAGAAACTTGGTAAACAATCTGAACACACTGGAAATGGATCTGAAAGAGCACAAGTATGTTGTTGTAAACATAACCTCAATTTATTTTTCCTAACGAATCCTTTTTTTTACACTATTTCTGGTAATAGGACTGTGATAGATACCCTGAAAACGGTGGATCCCGATCGTAAATGTTTCCGTCTTATTGGCGGTGTTCTGTGTGAGAGAACTGTCAAAGAAGTTCTGCCTCAACTGGTCGAAAACAAAGATTTCATTGAGAAAACCATAACATTAGTCACCGATGATTTGACCAAGAAGGGACAGCAAATCAATAAATTCAAAGAAGAGCACAATATCAGAATACGTGGAGAACAGATGGCTGGTGAAGCACAAAAATCTCAAACAGATGAGAACAAATCGGAAAATCGCAATGTCTTGGTATCCAACTGAAATTAAATCACTCACTAAATGCCGTGTTTGGTTGATATTAGAATTCTAATACAATCTGAAGACAAAAGAAGGCCTGGATGTCTTCGTCCATTCTTAAGTAACACTTAATAGCTTGTGTTGTGTATTTCATCTAACTGTATGTCGGTAATATCATTTCACCTTTGATTTCCTTTTGGCGTGATATCATCACAATGTATGATGGCTTCGATGATGGGCGATTTGAAATGAAATGTTAGCGTTCTACTGTGAAATGATAGTGATCCGATGTATATACAATCTATGCAAGAATTATTAAGACATACTAACATTACTTTAATTTCATTTGTAATTTTTCCCCTCTTCTGGCCTCTTGACAGTCTACATAAATATATTTATATGAATAAAACTAATGTGTTAACGTATTATTAGTGGAAATAAAAGCCAAAAAACGAACATCTTCATGTCTCTCCAATAATATAAAACTTTACACAACATTCTCATTTTGTCTTTTTTGTAGTGTTTTAAGTTTTGCTAATTTAAAGGCTTTATTTAATAAAAATAAAAACATAATATCTACAACGATGTTATTTGAAAGATTAAATCACATTATAGTTAATTCAATATAATGATGCAACGTAAATGATGCAGCCTATTCTACATGTTCGGAAAAATTGTCAAAATTGTCATCAGCCTTATTCTGGATGTCAAGTCCACGTGAATTTACTCGCTCTTCCCCTTCGACTTATTCTGAACAACATTTTTGTGTGAATTTTTTCGCATTCTCGCTTTCGCCTTATTCTGAATGAAGTTCGAAAGCGAAAAAATCTTTGGGGAAAAATTAGGTATTCTGGATTACAGGGAGTAGGAGAATGAGATGAAATTTTGTGCGAAATTTTTCGCTAATAAATTCAGAGTTGACTACAAAAACATAAGTTATAAATATTTTTATGAAAAATATTAACACAATACATATTCTATGACGATTTAGAATATTATAAATGATAATAAGCAAATATTTAACAAAATGCCTTTGGAAATCCTATTGATAATGATGCCTGCTGAACCAAATATTGCCAAAGAATGTATAAAGGTAATAATGAATATTTAAGTCGAGTTTGATGCATTTGGGAGGCGAAAAACAGACATTTTGGGTGAGGATCTGTCTCTCAAGAAAAAAATTATAGAAAAACCAAATTTGCCCAATGAGCCGCTTAACAGTGAAAACATAAATACAAATTATGAAACAAAAAAAAACTACAAAAAATATACATATATATTTTTTAAATTATCGTTTGCATTATTTGAAGGTAGAAATAAAGGAGTATGTCACTTTAAGAATTTGGAGAGATAAAATATCGAAATAAAATTAAAAGGCACACAATTATGTGCCTGTGTTTTTGCCATCATAAAAAAATGTTCTTTTATTTGAAATCTATTGTAGTTGTACCAAATTGCATCAAAACAATGTTTCACATGTCATATTGTAGGTTGCCATATTTTCAAACTTTAATTAATTTTCTTTTAATTACAAAGCATTTATAAAGCGGATTCTTGATATTTCACATTTGTATTGTTATAAAGTTTAAACAACAATAACAAGTAACAATTTTTAATAAAATAATGAATAAATAAAATATTGAAAAATATTACACAATTAAATTACAATATGGCAACACACATTACAACTTAAATTATAATATGGCAACACGAATCTTTTTTTCAACCACCATTTTCGAAAACTCGAATCCGCATCTCGCATTTTTTGCGTCTCCCTATTCATTCAGAATAAGGCGAGAATGTGAAAGCGAAAATTTTTGTGCATGCGAGATATCTCCCAGCGAATATATAGTTATATATATAGTAGTTAGCCACATGCCAAACATTGAAATATATTATTATTTTTAGAATAATACCTTCTAAGATATCATTAAGAAATCTTGTTAAATGGGGTAGTATAGTTTGCAATTTAAATGAAATCGGCCTTAATGGCTTCAAATTGCATTTTTGGAATAAAAATAAATAAATATCCAGAATAAGGCTGTATATTGATTTAGTTTATATAGGCTAAAAGTCTGTAAATCAGTTACTTTCAATGATTTTTTTCACGGACAAAAATTAAAGACTTGCCAGAGAGACCTACTGACAAGAAAAACGCATATTAAATTACAATACGTAGTAAAATATATAAGCTCGCGCCATTCAAAAATCAGCCAATTTTTGTAACTCCGCAAATACTGCCATGGGATGACCAACAAGCCTTAAATAATGCCATGTTCTTACATTTTTCGTCAATATTGAGCCATTTTCGAACACAAATACAAAATAAAAAAAAAATAGGTTTTATTTCGAGTTATCAGTAAATAGAGATTTTCGAGAAACGATTACTTATTGTGAACTCGATTGGAATTTGAATGAATTACCGTGATTAAGTAAATGTATTATTTTTTATTTTAGAATATTTAATGTGCTGTTGATTTTAGAATTGCTTCTGGCCTTTCAGCTTGATTCTCATATTTAAATATAATCAGCCTTATTCTGGACATTCGCTAGGGAGAGATCTCGCTTGTGAAAAAATTTCGCTTTCACATTCTCGCCTTATTTTGAATGGATATGGAGAAGCAAAAAATGCAAGATGCGGATTCGAATTTTCGAAAATGGTGGTTGAAAAAAGTTTCATGTTGCCACATTGTAATTTAAGTTGTAGCCCCATTGTAATTTAATTTTGTAATATTTTTCAATATTGATTTTCTTTTTTAAAATTGTTACTTTTTATTGTTATTTAAAATTTATAAAAATATAAATATGAAGTATCAAAAATACGCTGTCAAACTGCATTGTAATTGAAAGAAAATAAATTAAAGTTTGAAAACATGACAACATACAAAGGCAAGCGAAGCAGCAATTTGGTGCAAAAATTACAACAGATTACAAATAAAAGAATTTTTTTTTATGATGGCAACAATCGCATTGAACGATGTCGAAGACACAACGAATAATGGGAGGAAATCTGCGATTGAATTTAATAAATTCACAGTTTATTATTTCACTACATAATTGTGTGCCGTTTTCTTTAATTTCGATATTTTATATCCTCCAATTCTTAAAGAAGCGATTTATTTTATGATATGCTCTTCCTTATTTATTTTGCCTTTCAAATTTATTTGAGCTTTTCACTGTTAAGCGGCTATTCAGGCAAATTTGGCTATGTGGTTTTTCCAAATTTTTTTAATATTTTTTTTTCAGGGGAAACAGATATTAGTACAAAATGTTTTTATTTCAAAAATGGCATCAAACTCGGCTTAAGTAATAGGTACTTGTTATGTATAGAAGTATTGTGTAGATATTTTTTCACACAAATATTTAATACTCATATTTGTGTATTCAGCTCCCCTTAAATTTATTAACGAGCACAAAATGTCATCACATTCTCCAACCCCTTGTAATCCAGAATAAATAATTTTTCCCCGCAGCGAAATTTTTCTCTTTCGAACTTGATTCAGAATTAGAAAAAGTGAAAATGCAAAAAAATCGCTGCGAGTTCTAGTTCAGAATAACTTTAAAGGGAAGAGCCAACAAATTCAAAGTGAATTGATGTCAACAATAAGGCTGATAGTCTAATTCGTATTACTCTAAAACTTCATTAGGATTATTTTTTTTTACTTTTGTAAAGTGAACATCTTATTTAACAAAATTTATTATTTGCTGTTATTAATTTCTATACTACATATAGTAAGAATTGTATATTCTTTGTACTTATGATCATTGACCTTTTAAAGGTTTTTGTTTTTTATTGCCGCAATGTCAACAATAATAACAGATAATTATTAAAAAAAAAAACAGAAATCATGTATAATATTATGCTTACAAACTGTTGTTGTATACATACATCTATAGCTACAGTATATTTCAATGTATATTCTCTATCTAATATATACAAAATATTCCCTTAATTACGTTTAAAATCACCTCGTTGACCACCAGATTTTGATACCAATTGAATGTCTTTTATTATCATGTCATGGGTAACAGCTTTGCACATATCATATACGGTAAGAGCTGCCACAGAAACGGCAGTTAGAGCTTCCATTTCGACACCCGTTTGTCCCGAACATCGTACACTGGCCTCCAGTGTCACAATTTCATTATCTAAATCTAATGCAGCATTAACTTTTACCGAAGAAATTGTAATGTTATGACACAAGGGTATTAGTTCGGAAGTTTTCTTTGCTGCCATTATACCGGCCAATTGAGAAACACTTAGAACATCACCTTTCTTTAAATTATTTGAGTGTATAAGTTGTGCTACTTCCCGGCCAACATAGATTGTGGCTCTGGCTACAGCTGTCCTTGTGGTATTTGGTTTTTCCGAAACATCTACCATAGATGCTTTACCCGTTGTATCGATGTGTGTTAATTGTTTGCCATCCGAACTAAATAAACGAATTTGTGTTGAAGCTGCTGAATTAAGTGGGTTAAACAAATGTGCAAATTTTGAAGTGCAATTAAATGTTTGGTATTTGAAGATATCCGGTTGTCGCTTGTGGATTTGATGGTAACCTAATAGAAATAAAATAGAAAATAAATACATTTTTGAATTAGCATAAGAGTGTATTATATACCCACCTTTGGGGAAGGGCTATCCACCAATCAAAATCATTGGACGATTTTCCATTTGTGATAAATTCAACATGCCTACAATATTCGGTAACAATTTAATAATTTTGTTTTAATTATACAAATTCAAAAAATCTTCCAATGAATGATTGTGATTGATTGTTATGATTACTAGGTGCTACAGCATTATATTCGAATTAAGTTTTTTCGATATATTTATGGTAAAAATAATATAAAAGTCGGGCAATATTTGAGTCAGGACTTTGATTGCATGTTGTAAAGTGCGGACGGATGCACGAAGCTAAACTGAGTCAACTAGTGCAGATAAGATGGATGGTATACTAACAGGTGATCAGCGTACTGGGAACATTCAATTTTTGCTTTACTGTCTACCTAAACCTCATCCAGAAGTGTACCATTTATGTGAAATTTCTTTTAAATTAACATTAATCAGACGGTATTGTTGTATGAGGAAAGTGTGGAATCTTGAACAAGCTGGAATGTTGTGTTTATCTGAAGATTATATAGGCACTTCATAGATTCTCAAAAAAAAAAAAAAAAAAAAGTTTAAGGTTTCACACAAATATTTGGAAATAAATTCAATCATGGAGTGAAAAAATTGTAGCACCTAGTAGTTAATGTTGTTTGGATAATGACATCAGTGCTCACCTGCATGTTGTTTCTTCTTCCGTTTCACAGCAGCCGATATTAATGCGACCAAGTCATCCTCGGAGCATTTATTTCGTATGGCATCTCTCAGCGATATCTCCTTATTGCCAAATAGACACACTTTTAAATTACCATCAGCTGTTAGACGCAAACGATTGCATGATCCACAAAAATGTTCTGTCATTGATGTTATAAAACCAACTTGCCCCTTAAACCCAGGTACCTTATAAGCTTTCGATGTGTCATTTGGTCCATTAGGTAATGCTTCAAACTCTGGCCATTTCTCTCGTATTATTTTCAATGTTTCATTAAACGACAACAATTTATCTGTCTGCCATTTATTACCCATAAATGGCATATATTCGATAAATCGTACATCCACATTACGATCACGAGTGAATTCTATAAAATCACATATTTCATCTTCATTGAAATTTTTCATAAGGACACAATTGACTTTGGGTGTGTAGCCGAGTTGTATGGCCAAATCAATGCCGGCTATAACACGTTCCCAACCTTTGCGGCGTGTTATTTCTTCGAAACGTTTCGGTCGTAATGTATCCAAACTAATGTTGATGGCATCCAAGCCAGCTCTTTGCATGGGCAGTAGTAAACGTGTTAAGACCAATCCATTTGTGGTAATTCCAACATTTTCTAATCTTGGCAATTCTTTTAGTTTAGCTGCAATTACAAATCATTGTTTTATTAGATTCTTTCTTTTTTTCGATAGATTTCAAATAATCTTACCTATAATATCAACAATATCCCGACGTACAGTAGGTTCACCTCCTGTCAGACGTATTTTTCTTACACCTTGCTCAACGAAAATTCGTGCCAAATAATAAATTTCCTCATTTGATAAGAGATTATTTTTGGGTTGTAAATTTACTCCTTCGGCAGGCATGCAATATTTACCTGTAATATTAAGAAAAGTTTTTTTTTGAAATTATCTAGAAAGTATTCCTTAAATTTCATAAGCTCCACCCTAAGGTGAAGTGTATTTTAAATTGACCGATATATTGATTGGTCGGTTAAGGCAGATCTTTAAATTTACATTGTCTGCAATACTTGGATGTTTGATATTGAAAAATGGAATATTAGTCACTTTTTAGTACAGCCCACATATAACATTACTTTGAGGGTGCTAGCTGTATTTTCCCACCGAATAGACTGCAATTTAGCATTGCAGATTCGTGAAACATTTTCAATATAGGTCCCGACCAAATTCGGTATGTTAAAGGTTTAGGCAAATTTTCCAACCTGAGTCCGAAAAGTCAATGCCAAATAACGAAGATTTGTAATTTGGCATTGCGGATACGTGGAAGCCGAAAACATTTTCAATATAGATCCTGTCCAGTTTCGGTATGTTGAAAATTGAGCCAACTTGAGTCTGAAAGTTTGTATTTCGTTCGTGAAACATTTTCAATATAGGTCCCGACCAAATTCGGTATGTTAAAGGTTTAGGCAAATTTGTCAATCTGAGTCCGAAAAGTCAATGCCAAATAACGAAGATCTGTACTTTGGCATTGCGGATACGTTAAAGCCGAAAACATTTTCAATATAGATCCTGTCCAGTTTCGGTATGTTAAAAGTTGAGCCAACTTGAGTCTGAAACTTTGTATTTCGTTCTCTCAACAGGATAAAAAATCGGCAGAAATTTGATGTATTTTAAATTCCCAACCATGGTTAAGGATGTACATATTTCGAGACGGACTAAATAAACGACGGGTTTGCTTGCTTTCATTTTATAGATTGTTATTCCGCGATTTTTTAGACTTATCGATATGAGTCTGGAAGAAATTGCGATAATGGACTCAATTTTCACTTCTTGAATATTTGATACCTAAAAAGAGGCACATTACGTTTCTTTTCGGAACTCCGACACCAAATTAATTTTTGTTTTTATACCCTTCACCACACTGTGGTACAGGATTTTATGTCTTTGTGCATATGTTTGTAACAGGCAAAAGGAAATGAGATAGAGCCATGGTTTCTTTTGAGAATGTGCATAGAATCACTTTCAGAGTCGCATGTCCGTCCGTCTGTTGATGTAAAACTCTAAACAAAGTACAGGTTGCATTTATGATCCGAATAAAATGAAATTTGGCACAGCTCACATATTTGGCCCAAAGACGAATCCTCAAAGATCGGCCGATGGATACGAAATTTTGTACAGCGCGCTGAATTAGGTCCAGATTGATGTATACAAAGTTTTGTTGAAATCGGTTCAGAGTTAGATATAGCTCCCTATATAGTTTCGACCGATGTTAAGTAAATGTTGCACCAAAGACCCAAAGGAAGGCCGATTGATACGAATTTTTGTACAGCATACTGAATTAGATCCAGATTGATGTATGCAAACTTTTGTTGAAATCGGTTCAGATATAGATATATAGTATATAGTTTCGTTCGATTTTATGTTAATGGTGCACCAAACTCCGAATATTTGTCCGATTGCGACAATTTACTATAATTGTTATTAAACTGTTTACTTAACATTTTAATGTAGTTTACCGCCTTAAGATCGAAAGACTAGGCATCATGAATTTGAAAAATAAAATAAAAAATAAAAAAAAAATTGTACATCGTATTGAATTGAGTCTCGAATGTTGTATATTATTTTTTTTTATCAGTTTAGATATAAATATAGCTCCCATATACTTTTTCATCCGATTTGATGTAAATGTTGTCCCTAATAGCCTATCTTTGGTCGATTTATACGAAAGTTTACATGTTCAAAGTAATTGAATATGTGATAAGGTTGGTTATAATCGGTACAGATTTGGATATATCTCCCATATATAAGTTCAACCGATTTTATGTAAATAGTGCACAATAGATCAAAGAAACAAAGTCTGCGGGATTAACATTCAATTATTCATAAATCTCGGATGGTATGTGTTGATTTAAATTGTTCCAAATATCGATGTAGACCACGTATAATTTCGTTCGATTCATTTTCAATGGTCCTCCAAAGATGCTATGCCTGTTCTATCTGCAGGATATTTTGTAACATCTCTTGTATGTACACCAAGTAGTGTTACTAGTTTGGATTTACAATTGGCAGAAAACCTCCTTGTTTCAGCAGAAATTAAACAGTAATTTCAAATTGAAAGCTATTAATTGATTTCAAACTTCATTGTTTTTTTTTTTTCTTCTCAACTTTCATGAAAATTTCCCTTTGACACTGACCACTTGGGAATGACATTCCATAATTGTGACATTGGCCGATTTGTTTATCTTATCATAATTTACACTAAATTTGGCAATCGACCATGTTCATAGTTTTATTTGTATTTGACGAACACACTGAACATGAGCATGTGTATATAGATCTACTTGAAATTATTGGAGAAGATTTCTAAACAATTTAGTTTTGTAGTACATACTTACAGCGTAAATTACATCGTTCGGATAGTGAAATACGTAAATATGTGTGATAACGTCCAAATGTATCTGTCAGAGGTGAGGCAGGAGTAGTATTGGCCGATATCTAAAAGTAGGCGTGTTAGTTTTATTAATGAAATTTGCAAAAATAAATAACTTTAATTAGAAATACCTTTGTGTGTTCTTGTTGTTGTTGTTCTCTGGTTGCAATGGTCTCTGTAGATGTATCCAAAGCAGGAACAGGTTGGGCACTTGTTGTTGATTTTAAACGTACACAGATATATTTCAATTTTGCAATATGAGACAATGAATTGCATTTACCGGTTGTTATTGCGGCTGTTTTAAGAGCCCTCTGAAGTAGGGAAGACATACTGGATAAGGAATAATCTACAAACCGTCAGCCGTATCAAGTAAATAGAAAATTAGACAATACTAATTATTACAAATAACAAATAAACAACCGAAAAAGATGAATGTCATCTACTTACACGTTGATCGGAATCCACAAACACGCAACTTGTTATTACTTCATAGATGACGACCACCAACCACATCTAATCATCATCAGAATAAATGCCGGATTTTTGTTTTGATGATAAGCGTTCGTATTTTTTGTCTGTTGTTGTTGATTTACGCTGTATTCTTTTGCCGTGTGGTCAGTATTGATTATAGCAGTCTAACTCTCCGTATATTTACTGGACGACTATTAGCGAAGAGTAGCGACTTGTAGACTGAAAACAAAACTTGTGGAGCATGGAGCACATCGTTACGTTTCCCTCCAAACATATGATTTTGACTGATGACAAATGTTAAAAACGTGTTGCCGTTTATTTGAAAAAGTGTATAAGTCATTTGATTGCATTGCTGTTGTTCTAAATTTTGGATAGTATTAAAATTACCGTTACACTACAGCTTTTCAAATAATTTTATGAACAAATTGTGTAATTAAAAAATATAATAAACTAATTAAATATATGTAAAAATACCTTTTAACGCCAACAAATTTAAATAAAAAGCAACTTTGACACTTTTATTTTAAATTTGTGATTTGTTTATAATAAACGTAATAAATGACATAAACAATTAATTAAAAATAAAAAAAGCTTTTATACACAAATTTGTTTGATGTCTTACTTCGTGGTTAACAAGGCATTTGCGGACAAATACACACAAAATACAAATGGTATCCCAAAATAACCCGTCGAAATTACTGAATTCTTTTAGAAAAAAACTTTAAATTTTAGAGAACTTTAAATATGTACTATAAATTACGACCGAATTAACAATAATATCCTTTGAATGTTTTTAAATATCATAGGCATGGGAGTAACCTCCTACTCCTGATAATTTAGGATGCGATTTTTAAAACCTCTATGTGAGTGAGATTTTTTGTAACTACGTGAGTGAGATTTTCCAGATTCGACAACGAAAGAAAATGAAGCCTCAAAAAGGATATCCATATTGGAAATATTTAAAAAATCAAATGGTGCTTAAAGTAAAAAAGACAATAGGGCGTTTTTCGCATTCGAAACATGAAATCTATGTTAATGGAAATGGTTTTGGAAGTGTCTATACGAAAAATAGTAAACGGTACTAAATTTGGTACAATTTGAGTTTAGAGTGTAGATTGGGATAAGTAGGTAGTAGTTATTGATTTTTTTATTAATTTGTACTAACTGGTAGTAAATTTGGATTTGTGTAATAAGTGATACCAAATTTAGTATAGAGGTTTCTATTGCGGCCAGAATGTGTGTGTATTGTTGAGATATGGAGGAAGTTTTAGAAATACGTACTATAATAGATCATGGTACTACAATTTTAATGATGGTCAGTATTGGTTTTTAAATCATTTCCACACTCGTAGCGGACATATGCTAGTATTTAATATAACGCTTATGCTTCTATGATATTTAGTAGTGATAATGGAATATACACCCATTCTCGATTTGAAATCTCTGCGATTTAAACGGCTGACAAATGAACGTGCATTATATTGACGCAATTTTGTAGTTGTGGTTTTTGAGTTGCTTTTGTAATTAAAGAAAAGTCCTTGCTTTCGACGGCGAGAATGATTACGACCACTGGAACATCCTGATTCAAAACTTTTAACGGCATTTCAAAGAGTGCATGTCGCAGAAAAATTAACAAAATGGCGGACCTAGGAAAATTGAATTTGGGAAAATTCCCTATTATAGACCACAAATCAAGTTGAAAAACCAGTGAGCGGAGCAGTATAGTCGGACGGGGCCGACCATATGATACCCTTCACAACTTCCACGAAAATCTAACTTTGAGTGGTTCTATATTCTGAGCATGAACAATATTTCGCAATATTTTCACCATCTTGATCGACTAGAGGTCAAAAAATATTACTAATATTCAGTACAGCTCTTCTAATTACTTGCCCAGATTACCTTCACTGTGGGTTGTGTTGTTTGGTTTTCAATTGTGGCCTATAGATCGACTCCAAAACAACACAAAAAGTTTTCGGTACACTTCATCCTAATATTATTATCTGATCATCACCGAAAATTATAGGCGTTGTCCTTGACCATACCTGGATTCTCATGGGAAATTTCAAAGCGATCAGCGCTATATTTCCGCCCTCTAGTGTGGTAATGGGTTACGATATAATAAATCAATACGTAAGTACCAGTAATTATTTAAGTATATCTCCCTCATCCGAGTACATACGACAATATAATTTGTATCAATTTAAAGGTCACCCACTACTCTTGGATATACTATCAACTTCTCGGGTCTATGTCCTTCGGGGGTAAATATATATATAATAAAGGTAGGTCTAGGATCAATATTTCGTGGCGTTACAAACTATTGGGGCTGCACAAAGCTATAATACCCTGACAACATAGTTGTGTGGGTTACAATAAGGAAAATTTTGACAGATTACATTTCATACGATGCTATGTATGTACAGAATAAGGTGTTCAAATTTGGAAATGATTAGGTTTTGATTGTGATAATATCCCAGAGTGTCATTTATCATTTCACTAAAGAAACAATCCTTCTTTTCCAATTTAGTTACCTCCAAAAGGTCAAACGAGAATTATCTTAAGAATCCAGAAATGTTTCTGGTCGAACATAAAAATAGTCGTGTTCATAAAAATAGTCGTGTTCATAAAAATAGTAGTGGAATTTACAAATGTCATTTGAACAACCAAATACGCACATATAGTTGGTCATTGGTATAAAAATTTTGTTATTAATTTTCAGTGGGAAGAGGAAACCTTGCACGGCTGCGACAAGAGGATTGATAATAAAGCAGAGAAATTAAGGAAAAGGTACAAAGAAATTTATAATACGATTAAAATAACGCAATAACAGATAAGAAAAAGATTGAACAACGTGTTCCTAGACGTAGCACTAGAAATATGGGGGATATGTGCCTAGCACGATTGAACCCTTCAGCGACCTCTGAAATATTAAAAACTAATTTAAATTTACAAATCAATCATGTGACTGTACGCCGGAGATTGATCGAAAATAATGTATATGCCAGAAGTCCAAGAAAGGTCCCAATTTTGACAAGGAAGCATACCAATGCTAAGCTGAGTTTTGGAAAATCTCATAAAGGTTGGTTGTGTAACATATTATGGACAAATGAAAGAAAAATTGTCTTATATGGAAGAATTTCCCCAAACACATATGTCGAATTTCCGATTTTCGAATATTTTAACACATATTATGGCATAGGGCCAATCTATTGGTTTCTTCCAGTACTTTTTTAATAATAAGCTAGTAAAAGGGAAACATTTCCAAATCGCTCAAAGTACAAAATAACTTGAAAAGTTCGGGAACGCAAATCTAGTAAATATGCCAAAATCAGATGTCAATACTTCTAAATCAACATAACAGCCAATCAGAAGTAGGCATTCCTGTTCACCATTTTTACTCGGCCAAATTTCTTGAGTAAAAAGTTTACAAAGAGAACGCGATTTTGTTTTGTGCTCTCTTAAATTTTATTCAATGTTTTACCAGTTTTATAGGTTCAGGAACGGTTTTCGAAAAAAAAAGTTGCAAAATTTGTAAAATTCGTAGATTTTTTTAGGTTCTGGAACGAAACATACATTATTAATGGTATAATGGATAGAACAGTGTATGTTAATAACCTAAAAACATTAGGAAATTAACATTTCAACAGAATAAAAAACCTAAACATGCCAGAAAACTCGCAAAGGATTGAAGTAATGCCACGGCATGTGCTGTCACCGGATCTTAATCCCATAGACAATTTGTTGGCAGATGTAAAACGATGTATGTCCAATGCCAAATCAACAACAAAAGCCGAACTATATGCTGTAGTTCAAGAAATATGGACCCAGATACCAGAGCAGCGATACAAGGGCCTTATCAATCATATTCGTGCCGTTGCGAGGCTGTAATTAAAAATAAGGGATTAACAACAATATATGAAATAAGCCAAAGTTATACTGTATCAAACTATTGATTTTAACCAACATTACTACACCAAGTTATTTACAATAATTAACCAAGTTAGTTACTACAATTTTTATGAACAGAGCAAATTTGTTTTTTTTTTTCTTTTATTATTTTTTTTTTTTTTAATATAAAAACAAATGTTTTTTCCAAAATAATTGTGTTGAAGATAATAAACTACTATTTTAATATACACAGCTGTATAATCTTGTATGTATCTAACATAACTCCACTGTTATGCGTCTGCACTATGCGAGACATTTTCAATGTACAAAGCCATAGCACTTCCTGACAAAATAAATGTTAATGAATTCAGTCTAGAACGATGATAGTGCGTTTAAATCAATTATTCCACAGGCTTTTCGGCTCATACGAAATGTGACAAATTCATAAAGAATTCAAAACACGTGTACAAAAGGGGAAGAAGAGAGACCATGGTTTAATAATCATATAAAAGATCTTATATAGAAAAGAGGTTCTAGCTACAAAAGATGGAAAGTATACAAAACATCGGAGCTCCATGAATAGTTCAAATCTTTAAGACGTGAAGTAACAAACTGTATACAAAAGATGGAAGAAAATACGAGAAATAGGCATTGGATACAAATCTAGACCCCATTCAAATATGATATCGATATTGAAGAGTTAAATCTAAAATTCATTGGCCCAAACTTGGCGGTCAATTCTGATAATGTTTATTCACATTTGAATATTGTTCAAAATTGGATGTGTCGAATACACTGAAGTTCTTTAAACATTCAATGAAAGTAAATTGAATGCTAAGGGCATGGATGATATTAATCTTACCAAAAATTCTGCCCCATATATATATATATATATATATAACACCATTTTTGTTAAATCTACCTTCCCTGGAGCATGGAAACAAGCGAAAATTATTCCAAACCCAAA